TTGCTGAGCGCCGCGCTGCAGCGAGGGCTGCCCCGGCCCCAGGCTCTCCCAGCTGCCGCCTCCAGCCGGGACCCCCGTAAATCCCCTTCACTTGAAGCAACAAGACCACAGGACACGGGAAGCAGATTGAAAAGCAGTTCTGAAATTTCTTCCAAATTTCTGTAAATTTTGGATCCAATTCCACATCACCAAAGATCACCAAAGAGAATTTAGAGCAAAACAGCATTTGCCAAACAAACAGTCCACAACCCCCCTTCATAATCTGCATCAGTTTTTCCTCTATGAAAAAGCACATTTAGGATGTCCTGTCCCATGACCATGGTACCTGCTTCCTGCACCTCTGGGCAGCCTGATATCCAGAAGCCTTTCTGGGGATGCCAGATGCTTTCCTGAGTTGTCCTGCACCACTTTCCAAGAGCACCAGCCCCTGAAGCCTCCCCTTCCAGCTCAATTCACAGTCTTTTTCCCCTTCACCCAGGCTCCTAGGCTACTGTCCTGCTCCAGTTGTGCATGTTGCTGTCATGAAAAGCTACAGAGCTCCAAGGTCACTTCCTGCAGCAGGTGACTTGGGTCATGAAATCCTCTAGACGGAATGATTCCACTATTTTTTCATTTTCATTATTATGAAATCTTTCCTCATTATAAAATCCCTATTTTGCAAGCATTGATGCTGCCTGTTTATTGCCAGGGCCCCTGCTCTTCGTTTCGGTCACTGCAGGGTATTTCCAGCAGGCCCGTGGCCGCGATGCCCGCACAGACTCGTCACAGCAACCTGTGGCTCTCCGCCTCGGTGGTAACTGCCATGCTGAAATGCGTTAGCCCAGCTAAAACACAGGCCCAAACCACACAATTCTCCATGACTTCTTCTTGCTCTTTTTAGGTCGCTGTCTGCTAGCTCTCCTAGCTCTCTTTCTGCTCTTTTCCAGGATGGTTTTGCAGGTTCCTTCCCTCAACTTGCTGCACAGTTGCCTGGCCTGCAACCACCATAAAAGCTACAAGCAATGAGGCAAAGGGCTGCTGGGCAGGAGGGGGGTGTTACACTCCCTTTATTTGCCAGTAGATGAATAAAAATGAGTTTCCTGGTCTCCCTTTTGTCTTTGCATTGAAAACAACGTCCCTGCCAACACACTCCCTCCCGCAGCAGCAAGGACAGCGGCCGGCCCGGGCCCGGCGTCACCAGCACCCAGGCCAGTCCTACACATTGGGATGCACCAGAGAGAGCAACAGGCTGGGCTTACTCC